CCGGCCAGCCAACCACCTTGGCCCCTTCCCCAGGCCTCTGGCCCCTGATTGGCAACCCCCACCCTGTTGGGGGGTGGGGCCGGATGGCCCACTGCCCACAGCCCCTCTCCATAGTTGGCCCCACCCTCAATTGACCTCCCAACCCCAATCAGGGGGAGGGAGCCCATTGGCCAATTGCCCACGGCCCCTCCTCCCAGCCGGCCTGGCCCTGATTGGGACCTGATTGGGGTGGGCTAGCTGGCCAACCTCCCGCCATTGTCTCCTCCCAACAGGCCCAGCCCTGATCCACCCCGATTGGGGCCAGGCCAGCTGGACCCCACCCGTGCATGAATTCATGCACTGGACCTCTAGTAAAGGTTTTCTGAATGGGTATGCTAAAAAATTGAAAAATTAGTCTACCTGTTTTTACTTACGTAGACATGTTTGTGTAATGATGTATGTATGAAAAGTTTAAACTCACAGGTAAGTTTTCTATATGTATTACTGTAATTTTAAATTTATACTGATTAGGTCCCATAAATGAGTGCATTCACCAGTCACCGAGAGTAAACAAATGCACACAGCGGGGGCGTTAAAACTGCTCTGGAGTCACACCACAGACAACAGAACCAATTAAGGCTCCTTGAGGGGTGATCACGTGCTAAACTCCCTGAACACTGTTTATGAGCAGTGACTCTCGGATTTAAATATGTAGACTATAGTTGTAGATACGCAATATTTATTTATGTTGGAGAATTTACTACGTTTTTTCCAACATATGGCCTATTCGCTACAATTTTTTTAAAACAGCTAATAATTAAAAAAAAAATAAGCTGTTGATTTAATTTTAAGTAAATCTTGGTTAAAAATGTATTAAAATTAACAGGGAGTTAATTTTCAGATGACGTATGTACCAGAAATTTTGTCCATTAAAATTTGAAGTCCGGCCCTAGCCAGTTTGCCTCAGTGGATAGAACATTGACCTGCAGACCAAAGGGTACCAGGTTTCATTCCGGTCAAGGGCAAGTACCTTGGTTGCAGGCTCCTCCCCTGATCAGGGCGCATGCAGAAGGCAACCAATCGATGTGTTTCTTTCACATCAATGTTTCTCTCTGTTGTTTCACACCCCCTAAAAATCAAAGGGAAAAATATCCTCAGATGAGGGTTAACAAAAAAAATCTATATATAAAAGCTTAAGCGACCAAACAACTGGTCACTATGATGTGCACTGACCACCAGGGGGCAGATGCTTAATGCAGAAGATGCTCCCTCGTGGTCAGTGTGCTCCAACAGTGGAAGAGCTGTTCAGCTGACGGGCACCAGATGCCGGGATCATGGCTAGCAAGTGCAGCTGCAGCGGTGTGAGCATCTCCTGCCTCCGCGGCAGTGCTGAGCAGGTAGCAGCAGCAGGCGCAGTGGGACCAAGATGAGCAGGAATGGCATGGCACCCAGCCAGGGCTTGGGGTCCTCCCCAGCTGCCTGCCACTTCAGGGATCGGGCAGAAACCGGCAGTCCGACATCCCCCAAGGGGTCCCGGATTGCGAGAGGGCGCAGGCCAGGTTGAGGGACCTCACCGGTGCATGAATCCGTGCACTGGGCCTCTAGTAAATAAATAAAATCCAAAGTCCGTTAAATTGAGTTCCGCAAAATTGAGGGTTTACTGTACCTTCAAACCTGAAATCTGAACATTTAAATTCCACTGAAAGAATAGTCCTTGATTTTCTAATTTTTTTGGTACCTATAAAGATTTACAAATGAGCGAGGGAAGAAAAAGAGACTGTCATTAAGAACAAAGTTTTGCATAAACTGTATTGGTTTATTTACAATTGTAATCTATAAACATTAACACAAACATCTTTACATTAATATTATGTAAAAAGTTCTATAACTGAAATGGGGTGGGGGGGATGAGACTTCAGGACATTTCTAAAGGGGGTGCCAAGAAAAGAAAAAAATGCAACATAACAGTTGTGGAGAGTTATAAATATCAATTATTGCACCAGGAGCAATTTCATGCAAATGTCTTCAACCACTCAAGTAAACTTTTTATTTAAATATTAGAATAAAATATCAAAATACCATGACCTATGCTGCCTTTTATTCACTTGATTTCCATGAAGTAAATTAAAATTACTATCTGCAAACCGGATATGTCTAAATATCTCTCCCATCGACCCCTTAGAGATAATCCATTACACTTTAAAACATGAAGATTATAAGGATTTGCTACTTCCCAAACAGATTTTACAAGAAGTCATTCCACATCCTCAAATGTGTTCTTGGATTTCTCTTACCTAACATGTCTAATATGAACCTCTCAATAAATTAAGTTGAGGAAGCTGCGAAATAAAGCAGATCACTTTACAGTTTTGTCATATTAAGAGAATAGAAATAGTCTCAAACCATTGGAATTTTAATAAGACAAGACAAAAAACAAAGAAATTTCAGAAAGTGATGATAAAAACAACTGTAGTTTATACAGCTCTCTGATTATTTGGCTTTTATTTAAGTGGATATTTGTGGTCACAGACCATAATCTCACTGAAGATAAATCAGTGTGTGCTCAACACCTGCCTTAAATACCCTAAATCAAATAGTGCATTTGTAATAGACCAAAGACATTTTTACAGATACAATTCTGTCCTCAAAATGTTAACTGTAACCTTAACATGCCTACTTACTTATATATATTGCTTTTAACTGCTCCATTGAAACCATTAGGATGATGTTTAGTATCTGAAGCACTCGTGTTCAAATTATTAGCTAATGGTGCAAAGATGTTTGGAAATCGATGTTTCAACATTTCATTACCTGGACTGAATTTCTGAGTTGGCTGGAATCTTTATCCATTTCATTAAAAAGATAACACTCTTTTTAAGATCAGAAACGACAAGCTAATTATTAAGCTATGCAATATTTTTAGTTACTGATATTGCTCAGTGGGTAAAACCAAATGTAGCAATTAACAGGCTCTCTTCAACTAATTCTATCTCTAGTTTTCAGTGAAGACATTGCAAATATATATATATGTGTATGGTTGTTTTGAAATCTAAAAGTGATGCATGTTCCCTTAAAACAGCTCTTCAAAACAGAACTGCATTCTGCTCCCTTAGTTCATAAGGGCACAGGGTTAGTTACTTCAAAGTCACTTAATAACTGACTTTTATAATGAATCATTTTACAAAGCCAAAACTGCAAAAGAAAAAAATTTAAAAATTAACTGTCCAGAGATTAATTATAATAATTTGAACTTTTAAGACTGCTATTCAAATATCCCCATGAGCAAATGAAAGGTCTCCAGTTAGTATTCAGTCAGGAAAATGTCCATGTTTCTCTTGGTTGCTTTAATTTCTTTTGAAATACTTTTCTTTTATATTAACTTTCCAAAGCATCCAACACTTTCATGATCTGTTGTTTTATGGCTTTGGTAGCATCTCCTGCATTTGGAATCAAATACCTGTGGGGGGAAAATATATACATATTAATACAGCACTTTTTCTTCAGAACTCTGCTTAGATGTCACCTCCAGTGGGAAGCTTTCTCTGACTTACAAAGCCAGCAGAAATGTCCTCCTACGTACTCCCCAGAACTTATATATTAACATATACTCAACATATACTCATAAGCATATTTGAAAGAAAATCTAAATGCAAAAGCAAGGTGATTTTTCATAGTGTACAGCAAGGTGGAATGAACTGCAGATCAGGAGTTAGAAGGTAGGTGTGAAGATGTGAAAGTCATTTAATCCCTCTCGGCTTCACATTGTTATTTATAAGATTAATTATGGTTTAGCATCAAGATCAGTGTGGTATATGGCCCTGTGCTAGTCCATGAACTCTTTGTCACTGGTTCATAATGAGACAAGGAGGAGCTTATACTAGATTGCAAATTAACTACACAATTCAGTACACTGTTTAGTTCACTGACATTTAAAAAAAATAAGAATTTGATGAAAGAAAATAAAAGCATTGACTTATATTCTGAAAAAACTTCTTATTTGATTGCAAACCAGCATTTAGTGCAACACTGGTACAGGTTATTTTTAAAGACCATTCTTTCAAAAAGTTTAATTAGTTATGGTACTTACTAAAATCATGTGCTGACGGCTAAAACACAGATGACTAAGAATTTGGAAGAAAAAGACAGCAAAAAATATTAATGAAAGTGATTCAAGTATCCTATTCCACCACCTCTTCCCCTAAACAGAGAAACAAACCATGTTTAATAATGAACTAATTCAGTAATTTAGACAATATCATCCCAAGAAAATCTTACCTTTCAATTGCCAAGATTTCTATTCCTGAAGCACTGCTGTTTCCATACTTGAAGGTAATTAGGTCAGGGTGTTTCTTTTTGGATGTAATTTTAACCACAGAATTTAGTGCTTGTCGAGACTGTATATAAGCCAATCCTTTCCGTGAAAGAATCTCCCTTAAACAGTACATATGTGTTGCAGTAACCAACAGATGACTTGAGAGAAAAAGCATTAAAAAACAAAAAGAATGTTTTTAAAATGTCATTTAAAATAGCTATTACTTCAATAGCCCCAATTAAAAAAAATGTTCAACTCCAGATGAAATTACTTTTGAGTTAAAAATACAAAGGTTCATTATAAACAAACTAGAAGCCCAGTGCACAAATTCGTGCACCTGTGGGGTCCCTCGGCCTGGCCTGTAGGATTGAGCTGAAACTGGCTCTCCTACATCCCTCAAGGGGTCCCGGACTGTGAGAGGGTGCAGGCCAGGCCAAGGTGCATGATCGGGTCCGGGGAGGGACGCAGGAGGTTGGCCAGCTGGGGATGGACTGTGGGAGGGCTCCAGGGCGTATCTGGCCTGTCTCGCTTGGTCCCAATCAGCCAGTCCCCAGCGGCAAGCTAAACTACGAGTCAGAGCATCTGCCCCGTGGTGGTCAGTGCACATCATAGGGCCTGGTTGACCAGTCGACTGCTTCCTGGTGGTCAGTGCACATCATAGCGACTGGTTGACTGTCTGCCCCCTGGTGGTCAATGAACGACATATCGAGCGGTTGAGCAGCCTTAGCAGACCATTAGCATATTATGCTTTGATTGGTTGAATGAACAACCAGACACTTAGCATATTAGGCTTTTATTATATAGGACTACAGGCCCGATGCACAAAGTTTGTGCAAGGTGCTTAGCCTTCGCAGCTGCGGCAGCTTGCCTCACCCTCTCAGCCATGGCAGCTTGCCTTGGCCCTCACAGCTCCGGCTTTAGCCGTAAGGTCATCCAGAAGGTTGTTCGGCTGTCCGGTCTAATTAGCATATTATGTTTTTATTATATATAAGCTACCTAATAAAAGCTTTTAGTTTTCCCTTATGTTTTATTAACAGATAAACCTATCACTGTCTAAGAACAAAGGTATAATCTATATAATAAAAGCCTAAATAACCGTTACAGCGGAATGACCAAAATGATCAGTCACTATAATGCACATTGACCATCAGGGGGCAGACGCTCAATGCTGGAGCTGCCCCCTGGTAGTCAATGCGCTCAGCCAGAAGCCTAATTCATAGCTGGTGAGGGCAGCAGCGGTGGTGGGAGCCTCTCCCTCCTCCCCGGCAGTGCTAAGGAGCAGTGAGTCGAGCAAGGAGCAGCGAGCAGGCAGGCAGTAAGGAGCGAGGGGTCCTGAACTGGGTGCTGGCCGGGCTAAGGGACCCCACCCCCCAGTTGCTATGACACGCACTGACCACGAGGGGGCAGACGCTCAATGCAGGAGCTGCTCCTTGATGGTCAGTGTGCTCCCACAGCCAACCTCCCATGGCCGGCCAACCTCCTTTGGTCCCTCCCCCCGGCCGGCTGGCCCCAATTGCCCTAATCAGGACTGGGCAAGACGGTCCCGATGGCTGGCCAGGCCAAGGGACCCCACCCGTGCATGAATTCATGCACCGGGCCTCTAGTATTTTATAAAAAGTACAATACAATTAAAGTAATAGATTTAAAATAACAGATTTGTAGAATCTATTCTATATGGTATAAAAAATATACTACCCTCCACACTTTCAACAGTATTGTCTATACTCACAAAGTATTCTCATTCAACATATCATAGCATATGCCTAATAGCAAAGACCACTAAGCAATAGTTGGGCTGCCTTACATATTTTGTAATATTCTGTAACTGTACCCTAAAGACAAAATGTGCACAGAATTATTACCACCACCCACCCTGTGTATCAGCTTTAATACAGTGATAATACTCATACACTTTTAGGTAATAGAATAAGAAAAATACCAGAAAAGTCTAGAATGTGGGATATTCAGCTGAACAATAGACCTAGACTGACAGGATTCATTAATCATGAAGAAACGGGTGTGGAGTGTAGAACTTTGGGTGAGACTAAATAGATATAACAGGCAAATACAGTGTGTGAACCCTGACTGGATCCTGGATCAGGAAGTACAAACAAAGACTATAAAAGATACTTTGGGGGCACTCTGAAAAATTTAAGTATATGGACTGAATGTTGAATCATGTTAATTTTTACGATTTTAAAAGGTGATAATACTATTTGAGTTATGAGATTTTCTTGGGAGATTTATGCTGAAGTGTTTAGGGTTAAGTGTTATATCTAAGCTGCTTCTGAATGGCTTGATAAAAGGGAAATTCATGTGTATATGTGTATGTATATATACACACTCAAATAGAGATGGGATAGTATGAAAAGAAGTTAGAAGCTAGTGAATCTAAGAGAGGTTTATAAAGGTATTCAACGTACTGTTTCTTTAACATTTCTTGTTTAAAATTACATTAAAAATCTTTCTAAAACTCAAGACACATATTAACAGAGGGAAATTATATCCTATTGTATTTGGATAAATAAAATTTCTTTTGTAGTTTGGTTTTATATTATTAACTTCTCTAAATTCAATTGTACTTCTGAAGAAGACATTTTTTTACAAGTACCTAGGAAACATGTGTCCATTTTCTTTCACTTCTTTACAAGGAAAATGATGCTTGATGTCTGGCTTGTTTATCCAAGTCTGAATGTTAACAACCTCTTTTCTATCATCATCTGACATGGAAGAACTGTCAATTTCATCTATAAAGAATTTAAAGTATTAAAAGTGGGCATTACCAATTTTAAAAATGATACATTTCTTAACAGCTTGAAACACAATTTCAGTAGTACTGTGAAAAAAACACACTAGTCAATTCTTTTATTTTTATTTATTTCAGAGAAAAAGGGATAGAAATATCAACGATGAAAGAGGATCATAGGTCAGCTGCCTCCTGCATACCCCCTACTAGGGATTGAGCCCATAACCTGGGCATGTGCCCTTGGTCAGAATCGAACCCAGGACCCTTCAGTCTGCAGGCCGATGCTCTATCCACCATGCCAAACCAGCTAGGACTTAATTCTAATGTTGCTACTATATTTCCTTATGCCACAAATACTAATACAAAAATAATGTTATGAAAAATTGCTCTATATGATAAGAAAAAGTCAGGTGAAAATACTGAGATTAAACTAAGAAATTTAAGCATTTTTATTTAGATAGCATAACTATGAAATCTGACTAGTCTGTAGAGAGATGGCTGAATTTTCAAACAATGAACACCTATTTTGAGGGCATATAGAGCAGAGTTCTTTTTCTCTTGCTGGTTCCAGATTTTAAGTTAAACAACAACAAATCCAACCTGGGATAGATAAGTAAATATCTATATTATTCTCATGAGAGAAATAGAAAACATCCTAATTATTTTGTTCTTCTCATTTAAGAAAAAGAAATTATGATCCCTGGGATTAATAATTATAAATGTTCTTCCCTTTGCTTTTTAATAAATATTTCAAAATATCTATATCTATAAAAGCCTAATCGACCATTCGACTGGTAGCTATAACATGCACTGACCACCAGGAGGTCAATGCACAGGCATGGAAACATGAAAAAGGCTGATGAATCTCAGAAGGAAGTGGGGAGGGGAGAGGGCGTGAAGAGGTTAACCAAAGATCTTATATGCATGCTAGAGGTCCTGTGCAGATTCATGCACCTGTGGGGTCCCTCAGCCTGGCCTGCGGGGATCAGGCCGAAACTGGCAGTCTGACATCCCCCGAGGGGTCCCGGGTTGCAAGAGGGTGCAAGCCAGGCCAAGGGACCCACCGGTGCACGAATCCATGCACCAGGCCTCTAGTAAAGATACAATAAAAAAGGAAATCTCATATATCTACATTCCTCTTCCCCAATCACACTACTCTTCCTTCCTAAGAAATAGCGGCTATCAAGTTTAGTGTTACCAGTTCCATACTTTAACTATATTTGCATATAGTTAATCTTTAACTATATATAAATATCCCTAAATAATATAGAGTAGTATTTTGTATTTTAAGTAAAATTTATATAAGTAGACTATTCAATTGTACTCTTTTGTAATGGCTACCCCGTTCCCAACATTATAAAATGTATCCATGTTGACACACACAGCTCTAGTTTTCTCATTTTCATTATTGTGCAGTTTTCCATAGTGTAAATATGTGTGTGTATGATTTATGTAAACACACCATAATTTATTCATTCATTTGTTAATGGAAGGAGTTGAGATATTCAGGGAAAGATACATAACAGAGAGGGTGGGGGAAAAGGAGCAAAAGAAACAAATTAGAAATAGGAAGTAGAAAATTACATTTACTGCAATGCAGGTTTTCTGGAAGGTGATTTTGTAACATGGATTAAAATGTCAAATGTGATTCCCTGTAACCTAGCAATCTTACAGCCAAGAATTTACCATCTGGATGTACTTGCAAAAGTTCATGTTCATATATGTATAAAAACATCCGTTGTTGCCCTAACCGGTTTGGCTCAGTGGATAGAGCCTCGGCCTGCAGACTGAAGGGACCCAGGTTCGATTCCGGTCAAGGGCATGTACCTTGGCTGCGGGCACATCCCCAGCAGGGGGTGTGCAGGAGGCAGCTGATCGGTGTTTCTCTCTCATCGATGTTACTATAACTCTCTATCCCTCTCCCTTCCTCTCTGTAAAAAGTCAATAAAATATATTAAAAAAAAATCCGTTGACATTTGAAACAGAAATAAAAATTAAAATGTCAATGGAAGAAGATGAAATAAATAAATTATGGTAGGTTCACATGATAGAAAAATAATTGAAGAGGTATACGGGCTGAGATAGAAAATATGCAACATGTATTACTAACTGGAAAAGGCAAGGTGAGATATGGGAGTTTTTTCATATTTTGTACATTTATGTACTGTTTTATTTTTTCTAACTTAATATACATATTAATATTAATTATGATTATTTAACCATGATAATCTGGCAGTGGGATTATGAACCAAAGTAATAAATTCTTTTTTAAAATATAAAGAAAGACAACCAACCACATGGAGGATGACAAATTTCCCTGACACAATATCCCCATCTTGTGGCCCTTTAAAATATTGCCTCTAGTTTCAAAAGGTTCTTCAGATGTCTGTTTTGGAATTCCCTGAACTTTGGTCCCACAACTCTCAATCTCCTAGGTGGATGGATCAGGGTTTTTAAATTCAATCCCATGGATTTCAATACTATTTGTACACTGATGATTCTGAAATTATCACCAACTTAGACTTGTCTCCTCAATTAAAGGCTCCTATAATCAACTGGCTATGCAACATTTCGCCTTGGACTTCTAATAGGCAGAACCTCAGATGTTTCAGACAAACTCTTAATTTAAAAAACCAGTCTTTAATTTCCTCTACAGAATCTCACTGTGTCTTTCTTCTTTTTTAATATATTTTTATTGATTTCAGAATGGAAAGGAGAGGGAGAGAGAGAAACAGCCATGATGAGAGACAATCATTGATCGGCTGCCAAACAGGGACTAGAGCCCGCAACCTGGGCATGTGCCCTGACTGCGAATTGAACCACTGAACCGCACCGGCTGGGCACTGTCTTTTTTTTTTTTTTTTTAAAGCAGTTGTTTGCTACTCCCAAAATAATCTTTATAATCACTCTTGGTGCCTGAGGAAAGAAGTCTATAAGTAAGTGTAGTACTACACCTGTGTCGTATTCTTCTTCATCCCCAATGCTGAACACAGGTTTCACACCACGGTAAGGCTTGCCCACTCTGTCACTGCTGCTCACATGCCTATATTCAAAGAATTTTAGAAGGGGGGGGGGAATTCATCACATAAGTTATTAAAGATTTTAACCAAGTATCATTTGACTACTCAAATAAATGTAAATGTTCTTTGCCCACGTACAACCCAGTTTTAGGATAGCTATGTTAAGGAAATTGAAACAAGATAAGGAAATGTTAGCAAAAGTGGCATAAAGACTTGGTGGCTGAATGTTTTCAAATCTGTAAATATTAAATTTGAAGCAATTTTAATATTCATTATAAACCAGGGCTTAGCCCAGCCAGAGTGGCTCGGTTGGCTGAGCATTGTCCTATGCACCGAAAGGTTGCCGGCTCAATTCCCAGTCAGAACACATACCTGGGTTGTGGCACTTATGTAAGGAAACTAATTGATGTTCTCTCTCACATCGATATTTCTCCTCTCCCCCTCCCTCTCTCTAAGCATGTCCTCGGGTGAAGATAAGAAAACAATGCTTAGATCTGTGTGGCCTTAGAGAAGTTACTAAACCTCTCTGTGATTCTGTTTTCTCATCTGTAAAATAACATCTACCCTTCATGGTTATAAGAATTAAACCATTTAATATTGTATGTGTGTAATTACACACTGATTTCAGAGAGGGAGATAGATAGAAACATCAATGATGAGAATCATTGATCAGCTGCCTTCTGTACACCCCACACTGGGGATTGAACCTGCAACCCAGAAATGTGCCCTGACCAGCAATCAAACCGTATCCTCCTGGTTCATAGGTTGACACTCAACCACTGAGCCATGCTGGCTGGGCAAGCCAGTTAATATTTTTTAAAGCTCTCAGAACAATGCCTGGTATATAGCAAGTGCAACATACATGTTTGTTAGACAATATAGATTATGGAACCAAACATTCAAATTCTAGGAGAGCTTAAAGTTTTTATAGGGGTGTGCAAGTGTCTTAAGGTTTTTCCTCCCATTTTTTATTATTGTTACTTTAATTTTAATAGAAACTAAGATTCTACTTCTAATACATAAACATAAGTAAGCCATGAAATGAATCTGCCTTTCTTATTCAAGTGAAAGAAGCCTAAACAACATGTAAACTCAAAATTGGTTAGTTCTGCAGGAAGTATTACCTCTTTTTTAACATAAAAGCTTAACCTCATTACTTTGCAGATAATTTTAACAAAATACTTTGGGAAATAAACATTTTATTATTTGTAGGATAAAGTATGAAGAGAGTCCAAAGTGGGGAAAAAAATCAAATTACACTATCTTTACTTAGCCTTAGAATTCAATTTTTCCACAAGATGGATATCAAACATGTATTTTAAATATTTTTCTAATACATTTCATCAATAAAAATCTTATCACAACCTAATTTTGTTGAAAGGCTTAAATTTTTACTTCTTCAAAACAACATTCCTCAACAGAAAATCAATTTGAGTTGAGTGAATAACCAGACATTCTTTGGGAATTATAAGTTAGGTTAATCACTACATAGCTAACATTTTGGTTAAATTAAAATCATAAAATAATTTGAGCTTATGTTAAAATAAATCTAATGTAAAATTATCCTGTATATTATCAAACAATTCTCGTTAGATCAAAATTCAAAAACCTATGAAACTCAGATTCAGCTTTCTTACAAAAGGCAAAGATAAAGATAATATAGCTTTATCTAAGAATACTTTAGTGCCATCCTATCTAATAAAAGCCCAGCAACCAAACAGTGGAGTGATCAGAATGACCAGTAGACAGTCGCTATGATGCGCACTGACCACCAGGGGGCAGACGCTCAATGCAGGAGGTGCCTCCTGGTGGTCAGTGTGCTCCCACAGTGGGAGCACCGCTTGGGCTGACTGGGATGAGCAGCTGCTTCTGCAGCAGGAGCAGCCACTGTGGGGGAGGGCGGGGGTCCACAGTCGCTCCGCTGACCAGGATGAGCAGGCCAATCCCCACAGGCCACACCCCCCACCAGTGCACGAATCTTGTGCACTGGGCCTCTACTCTAGATTATAAAATTATATGAGAATTAAATTATTGCTTCTCTCCTGATATTAATGCATAAACTGCTTGCTACAACATAGAAAGTAATAAAGGGAATGTTTATAGTGAATGCTTGAATCAGAAACCAAGTATCTGAAGAGACAAATAGAAAAAAAACCACAATGGAGTTTTTATAAGAAGATTGCTAAAGATTACTGAGATGGTTCTTAAAAGACTGGCTAAAAATTAATAAAATTCAATGGATGGACTTCTTTTTTAAAGCAGCATTATCTATTCTTTCTTAGTAAAAATAATAACAGAAGCATCTACAAAATAGTTGGACAAGGTTTTTACTTAATCTGCTAAGCTCAGAAGAAGCTAACATTTCATTCCAACATTTCACAGAATTTTACTTTCAAAATAGGTATATCTGCCTTTGGACCAGAGAAGATAATTTAATTTTTTTTTTTAATTAAGAATCTGGGAGAAAACTTGGGAGTTAAATAAAATCAGATGAATTCAATGGTTGTATAAGAGAAAATAGAATGGTAATTCACAAACATTTTAATTTTAAAAGATGCAATTTCCTTTAAAATAGTCTTAGATATGCCGAGACCGGTTTGGCTCAGTGGATGGAGTGTCGGCCTGCGGACTGAAGGGTCCCAGGTTCGGTTCCGGTCAAGGGCATGTGCCTGGGTTGCGGGCACATCCCCAGTGGGAGATGTATCCCTCTCCCTTCCTCTCTGTAAAAAAAATAAAATATTTTAAAAAATAAATAAATAAAAAATAAATAAATAAAATAGTCTTAGATAAAATTATAATAGAAGCCCTTGTAATGGGTTCTCTATACGAACAGTCATAGCAAATAAAAGCCCTTATCAATCAGTTGAGAGTAAACTATTGTTTTTAAAAATTTTATTTCTAGTCACTGGGAATACTGAAATGACCTGAGAAAAAGTCAAGTCCATTATTCTAAAGCTTAACTTACAGTCAAAGTATGACAAGATTTTCTTTTAAAATGTTCATAGGTATTGCTATAATTGATATTCTAATTTAAATTGCAGAAACATTCTATGAATATAAAAACTGTTAAGCCATATAATTCTTTTGTTCAGCCTAATTGAAGATCCTTTCAAACTGATGGGATCTAATGACAAACAGCCCATCTCAATGAGGCAGAGAAGAGATGGGTAATACATTAATATGTCCATCATGACAATTTCTTTCAATGAAAACCAAAGACAGGACTCCAGAACTGTGGTTCTTTGGAACCAATTTATATATTAACGCATGAATCTAAATACATACACTTTATTAAGAAAAATCTAAAATATCATAAAACTAGAGGCCCTATGCATGAAATTTGTGCAAGAGTAGGCCTTTGCAGTCCCGGCTTCATCCATTAGGTTGTCTGGACAGTCGTTCCACTGTTCTGTCAATTTGCATATTATGCTTTTATTATTACAGATGACATAATGAACATGAATTATCCAAAATTTTGAACCATGAATTGTGCTTTTTAAACCAGGTACTATAATTTTCTCTACCATTAGGGCAGGACACAGAAGTAAATGATCTCCAAAGCTAAATAGCCTGTCAACTCTGAAACTATTTATTTTCTTTGTTTTACCTCCCTCTGTCTCAGAACAAAAGCTGCAGGTTTATGAAATTCTTGGATTCAAATGCACTTGCTTTTCATTTGAGGAATGGGAGATACAAGGAAGCATGCAAGAAAAAAATTTTTTAATGATCAAAGAAAAAACCAAAAAGAGATCAGCGTCACATGTACTCCTAAAAGTAGAATGAGAAAAGTTTAGCATTTGAAACAGTTACATGAAATTTTAGCCAAGACGTGATGAGGCTTATAGACAGCATGAAGCATGCTAAAGGAAAGGATGGCCCAACAAAGCTGCTCTACTCATTGGCTTACCGCTCTGTACATGTTCTGTCTGGCCAAGGAAGATTGAAAGACATTCTACAGCAAATTGAGGCAGAGGACAGAACAAAATGATTATAAAACCACAACAGTTTTAAAACAAAAATATAGCACAATCAGTTTTTCTAACCCAGAGTGTACATTATAAAGAAGATGTTTCAATCATCCAAAGCACAAAGAAAAATTTTAAAAGCCTGTCTCAAGTGACTCCTTAACAAAGTCTTTTCATTTTATCACTAGTTCATTTTAAAATAAAATTAATGAATTTTAAAATAAAAATATTTAATTTGCAGGCTATAAAATGTAGCAATAGTAGTACTGTAATTCAAAATGCACTAATTAAAAGTAAAAATGTTAAAGGTTTTTAAGAGCAGACATATAATTTAATGAGCAAAAGAAATATTTTGTGGTAAAACACTTTAACATTTACCAGTTGACCATTTTAGACAAGATACAATTTTTTGGATTAGTGAAAATAACCTATTTTCTTCTTTACTATTTACTGGGTGGGAAAACATATATTTTTGTATGTATATATACTTAAAAAGTGACAAATAGTAAATTCCTGACATTTAGTTCTTAAAGTCAAATATTTCAACTTTCCTAGGATACTGCAGGTAAAACATGAGTGAAGTTAAATACTGTAACACACTGCCAAGATTAAGCTTGCTTAGAAACAAATTCTGCACTGAATTATTAGGTTAGCTTTGAACTCTAGGAACAAAAAGGATCAATGTGTGGACAAAAATATATTGTGTACTCACAATTTCAGTAAGAAACAATGTAACAGATAAATTTGCTTATTATTTGTTGGCTATGTCCTTCATTTTTAAGTAATGGGAAGCTAAGGGTCTCTTATATTCTGTGAACAAAATTCTATGAAGATCTGAACTATTGAACTTCAGAAAACATATTTCTGATTTATTTAGCATGACCAGATTTTCTAGGTTTTAAATTCCAAAAGCAGAGGAAGAGGCTCCTGCAGAGATTACTCCATTTGGTACTTGATTCTCATACATTTGCCATGTGGGAAGCAGCTACCATATGAAGAGTAAAACATAAAATGACATTTGAATATATTTTTTAAAAAATGGCATGAAGGGGCAGAATCATTACTTGCACCTTATTCTGAGCAGTAGGAGAGAAAAAAAAGTAATCTGTAGACAAATTTTACAGCAATATAGAACATCTTATAATTATAATGGAAACTGAAACCATATACTTAAAAAATGTACTTTATGATCCTTTTCTAGAACACATTCGAGTCAACTAATATTTACTCTAAGATACTTTTTAGTTTGAATTACTCATCATAAACTCATGCTGTATAAGCAACTCACCGATCCACAGGAGCTGATGTATTCTCAATAAAACTGATAACTTTTTCCCTGACATTAACAGATTTTGTCTTCAAAGCAATAGTCATTTTATTTACTAGTGATTTCATTCCTCTATCATTTAAGCCATTAGAAGGTTCTCCCTGAAAAATAAATAAATAAATAAATTACTAAAGAACTTCTCTCCAAACAATTAGCAGACACACTACTGCTAAAAGTTATCTAAATGTCATGGACTGAATTGTGTCCCTCTCCCTTCCCTAAATTCCTATGTTTAAGTCCTAACTCTCAGTACACTTCAGAAAGTGACTGTATGTGGAGACAGTGTCTTTAAAGAGGTGATGAAGTGTAAATGAGATCATATGAGTGGGCCCTAATCCAACATGACTGGTGCCCTTACCGAAGAGGGGGAGACACCAGGGTGCTCCACACAGAAAAAGGCCATGTGCAGACAGAGCAAGAAGGTGGCATCTGCAAGCCAGAGGGTGGCCTCAGGAAAAATCAAACCAGCCAACCCTTTGATCCTGAATCTCTAGCTTCCCTAACTTTGAGGAAAAAAATTTCTGTTGTTTAAGTCACACAATCAATTTGATATGGCAGCCGTAGGTGAAACCATTTTAGAAATGGAAGGTAGAAACAAAAAATGAGGACATATATTGCACATATAAATGTGTGGAGTGTGAAGTTACCTTCCTTATTCAACAAGTAATCAAGTTTTTGAGCTTTTCTTAATTCAGATTATTCTATAAAAATGAGCGAAAGTATACAGGCGTACCTCAGAGATATTGTGGGTTCAGTTCTAGATTACTACAACAAAGTGAATATGGCAATAAAACGAGTCACACTCACACAAATTTTTTTACTTCCCAGTGCATATGAAAGTTATATTTATACAATGCTGTTGTCTATTAAGTATGCAACAGTATTATGTCTAAAAAACAATGTTCATTCTTTAACGAAAAAACATTTAACTGCTAAAACATGCTAACCATCATCTGAGCCTTCAGTGAGTTGTAATCTTTTTGTTGGTAGTCTTGCTTTGATGCTGATGGCTGCTCAGGGTGGTAGTTGCTGAAGGTAGGGGTGACTGGAAATTTCTTAAAATGAGATAGTAATAAAGTCTGCCACATCAATTAACTCTTCCTTTCATGAACTATTTCTCTGTAGCATGCAATGCTATTTGAAAGCATTTTACCGACAGTAGAAATTTTTTAAAAATTGGAGTAAGTCCTCTCAAACCCTGGTGCTGGTTTATCAACTATTAGTATATATAAACCATAAATTAATAAATCCTATATAATAAAAAGCTAATATGCAAATAGACCAAACTGCAGAAAAACCAAACAACTGGTTGCTATGATGTGCGCTGACCACCAGGGGAGGTGTGCAGAACATGGCAGGCGTTTGCTGCGAAGGGATGGTGGAGCAGGTGAGTGGGGACCCTAGACCAAGGCGGGCTACCAGTCACTGTCATCAGGGAGAGCCTCTGGTGGTTACTGAAAATTCTTTACTCCTGGGCGCTGCGGTCCCGCCTGGCACTTGCACCTGCTGTCGGTACCAGCCCTGCTTACACCCACTGCCAGAGCCTGCACTGCTTGCACCTGCTGCTGGTGCCCTGCCTGCCACTGGTCCCAATTACTTGGCACAATCAGCAGGTGTGAGCAGCGACTGCCAGCCCTGGTTGCCCCTGAGGGCTTCTCCACCTCCCCCTGCTCCTAAGGAGCGGTCAGGGAAGCAGCCACCACTCA